GCGCAGCCGCGGTTCATTGCGCGGATTGGACCCCCATACAGGTGTGCTGCATAGGGCTTGGCTGTACACAAGATTCCCCCGGCTTTCGGCAATGGCTGAGTAAAAGCAGCAAACAAACTAAGGCTCCGACTAAAAGGACTCTCGCTTGCCGTTCGGGTGTACGAAATTCTCCCCCAAGCAGAAGCATGACAAACGAGACGTACACTATGCGAAAAGGGCACACTATGCGAATAAAGAGCAGGCTTGAGGGAGTGTTCAGAGGTTCCCAGGCAAAAGCGTGCTTCCCCCGCCGTTTTTGGCGAGATCTACGTACTGCCACTGTTGGATCGAAGCGAATTTGGGCCTCGGGTTGCCTCTTGAATTCCCCTCCAAAGTCGGAAACAGATGTACAGGTGTGTTAAAAAGACACTAGGATTCACGGGCCAAGTCGGGCCGGTTGTTGTGAGGTTTACCTGAGAAAGCACGACGACATGCTTGTTTAAAGATTTCACACCAAGGAACTCGCATGCACTCGGATTGTCCGATAAAGTGGAAAATCCCCCTAGGCACCCTCAGAAGTCAGCGCGTACCCCGGGGACTTTTGCAGCCACGCTCGGAGTTGGCATCAGGGGTCTTCTCCCCCGCTGCAGTTAGGAGGAAAAGCCTCCTTCGTCACTGTTCCCCCGGTGTCGTCGGGAACGTTCCATGTGGCTTTGCACTTCGCGGACCGCTTGCCACATGCGGTTGGGGAGAAGCCGTATTCCCCCACCTCGTGGCGCGCCCACTGGCTCATTGGGCTTTTGCCCCAAAATGCCTTCACTGTGTCCTTGGTCGGAGGGTCTTCCAGATTCCCCCCACGGCCAGCTGTCGTGGGTTGGGTCGTCGTCTGTTTGCTCGTCATCCCCCCAGTCTGGTGGGGTGTCTTCATCTGGAGGTGAACTCCCCCTGCACACCATTCTCGCACGATGGGCTTCGTTGTGGTCTGCTCTCTCTGCTGGTTGTGGTAGTTCGCCTTGAAGTGCTGCACTTGGCTTGGAGCTGTCCCCCCTCGAGGTCTCTGTTGTCACATGCTTTGTCACGGCGTGGTCGGCCTCCTCCGTCAGCTGCAAAAGGGCATCTCCAGGGCCATGTCCAGAGCTGTCCCCCTGCGAGGTGAACTCCCCCGTTGCTGGGTGTGTTCCCCCGTCTTGTCGGAGCTTGTTGCGAATTTTTCTCACCTTTGGCAGTAAAGTGTGAACTCTTTCAGGAAAACGAGCCACAAAGGCCCGAGTCTCGTCCGCCTGTAAGGGGAGGTACTTGTCGACGATATGGAACAACTTGTCAGCTTGACGCGCCGTTTCATTGCGGCTTGCATGGCGCTTGAGGTAAGCCGCATATTTCTTCCCCTCCTGTTTGGAAAGGGCCTTGCCGGTCTCTGTGTCCACGTACTTCCCCTCCTTGGTTTCACCAATCCCCTTGCCGATCCAGGCATCCAGTGGATCGGGATCATAGAGGAGCACCACTCCTTTGCGGGTGCGAAAGCCTGTTAGCTCGCTTAGTGGTCTGGCTGAGGTCGGGCTGCTTTCCCCCCGGCTCGTCTGGGCAGTGCTCACGGAAGGGCCTCCCCGTTGTTCTCGCGGTGGACTTCTACTCCGGGCTTTCGGCGAGGCTGTGGCTGCTGAAGTCACCCCGTATAGTCTGCATGCTGGGTCGGTGCGGTCGTGTATTTTCCGCATCCCCACCGTGCACACTCCTGAAGCAAGCCTACACAGCTTGCATTCCCCCATCGTGATCGTCACTATGTCGCGGTCGATGCCCAATATCACGACCGTTAAGATGGTATTCTCCGCCGCCCAGCGAGCTGGTACTGTGAGCACACTGTCCTGAGGAGCGAAAAGACCTGCAGCTCGTAGTGGGCCGTCCCCCCTTCCGCAGGAAAGTCGGCGGAGAGGAACTTGCAGTGCCTATGTCCCGGTCAGAGTCAAAGGTATCACGGACTTGCCTTTGAGGACGATGGCTCACGAACTACCCCCGTTTTTGGGCCACTGGAACCGAACAGCGACAGCGGTTGGCCTCAAGCCTCCCCCCGCCCAAGGCACGTCCACCCAATGAGAGAGCTGGGGACAGCCAGCTAACTCAGAGGGCCGGCCTTAGGCGCCCCCCCAAGGGAGAGCGGCGGGTCGACTTGAGCCAAAACGGCTACTCTCTCTCTCTCTCTCTCTCTCTCTCTCTCTTTTCTTTCTTTCTGCAGGGCATAGGGGTCGCATGTTTCTCTCTCTCTCTCTCTCTCCTGTGCTGTGCTGTGCCGTCTCCCAGATGCTACCGCATAGTTTGACATGACGTCATGAGCTTCTCTCGGACCCTTGCATCCCAAAGTTATGGAACGAGATTCGCATGTGGCCTTGAACTGGCCCTCGAAGACAGATCCGTCGGCCCACTCCTCCTTGCCATCTCCTTCTTGAAGATCGTTTACCTAAGAATTGGAGCATGTCTGCGAGGCACACCCGCTGCTGCTCTTTCTCAGGCCGGAACCCACTGACCCGTGTATTTGGCACCGGATGGGTAATGGTAGACACCACTTCCATCTTTCTTGTCATTCTTGAACTGACCTTCGCATAAGGAGGAAGACATAGGAAGACGGCATGACTTTCTGCATTCAATACTCGCGATCGATCGATGTAATGACAACTCAATCTGCTCGAAACTGCACAGTGCACGTCAGCCGACAATGACAGAAAGTGAGACATTTGGGATTTCTAAGATTTTCTAAGTGTTCTGAGTGATAGGTTTGCAGCCTTCATGCATCATGCTTTGCTTACTGAGGCTTACCAGTTAACTGAGGCGGTCGCCCACGTATTTGGAGCCATCCTGTTGCATGTGCTCTTGACGCGCGGCACGAGTCTGCAGTACCAAAATCAGAGTCCAGCGGGCCTTCAGCGTGAGGCTTCCCTGGCCATGCTTCTGGCCGTTCAGCCAGCCACCTTCGTAGGTGGCGTCGCCAGCAACCTGAGAGCTGCTCGGATTCAATAGGAACACGAATTAAGCCAAGGAAAAGGGAGAAACGGACCGCGCTACCTTCGACATGTTATGGAATTCAAGTTAAAGAAACTTGCACAGGATCCTTGTCCTCCAGTCTGGAAGGAAGCCTTGTCCAAAACCTGTAGTTTTGACAGAGTTTGCTACAGGCAGGCAAGGCTCGGAGACCTGGGCTTGTCTTTTGTACGGCTTGCCTGGCATCCTTTTTGTTCGTCCCTGGGCACCCCCACCTACAATGCTGTGCAGCTCTAATCAAGCTTCCTATTGCCCACCATCTGCTCGTCCATCTCGAACCGGCGCTTACCTTCCCTCTTGCAACAATGCACTATGAGTGGGTGCTGATCGGTGCTTTGCTGTGCCTCCGAAGCACTCCCTGGAACCACACTGCACGTGATGAACTTCTGGCTCGTGATGGCTGTTGTGGGGGGGATCGATTGGCATGGATGAGGAAGAATCGACAGACCGGCTACTCGACAACTTCTGTGGTGTACTATGAGGCTGTGTATGTGATCTCGGAGCGGCCTTGGATGCTGTTTGAATACTTGGCCTTCTACATGCATACGAGGTATTTCACAGCATTTTCGCAAGCGGGTCGCCTGTGCCTTCGTTGCCCCGCCACCGGCATCTGCCTCAGCAACACCACCGGCGGAGAAGGCCTCAATTCGGCGGTCCAGCTGCGAGAACAAATTACCGAACAGGCAGGCCAGTCCCTATATACCCGTTGAAACATGTGCCCAACTGTGAAACCACATCATCGTTCAGCTTGCATAGCTAAGAAGCTGATGGTAACGCAAGTTAGTCACAAGTACACGTATGTGCATGTATGTATATATATATACACATACATGCACATGCTTCATCCGGCGTCCATGTGCTGCTCCAAGGGTCCGCGGAATCGTCATCTCCCTGGCCCAATTCAATCTGCAACACTCTCGCTCTAGGGCCCAGCTCGTCTTACACTTCGAGAACAGCCGTTAAGGCATCCAGTCGTTGTTTCTCGGCGCTGCCTTGATGGTTTGGGTAGTGACCGAAGGGCCCCGGTCGCAGCTGCATGGCCCTTGCCCCATGGCACGATGCCTCCTACAGAGTGAGGATGTAACAGCGATGTGGCTGGCTGTGGGCCCAACATCAGCTTGCCTCTTGTCTAGCGCGAGGCTGTGGTAATCTTTGGTATACAATATGCTTCCAGTCTGAATAAATGGACAATGGAGCTAGTCGCAGCAGCGAAGAATGAACACTTATGAATTGCACAATGCAAGCTATATGCCAGCTCTCCCGTTCGACCGAAGCAGACTGCATACTGCAAAGGATGGACCGAGAATGGAGCCATCATCTCCAGGAGCATTCTCTGATTCTGCTGAACCTCGGTTCATGCCCCGTCGGATGAGTAAAGAGTGCAAAAAAGCTTGCCAGACGTGCGCTTTTGATCCGCGCTGTTCGCGGCATTCGCGGCCCGTTCGCAGGCATCCTGGTATCGCCGCAAAGTCTTTTCAAGGGTGAGACCACCGAAGGATGCTTCATCTCCTTGGATAGAGCTGCTGACACACCCGTTGACAGTCTGCTTGAATGCTTCGCAGCGGCGTGAAACCACTGGAATCACCAATCCATCACCATCCTGTCGCACCAAGGCGGCAACATGTTTGAGCAGAGCGCCAAACTGCTAGTTGCCACAGCCTCAAAGTCATCTGCACCGGCTTGCTCCTCATCCGTGAGCCTGCCAAAAGCGGCTGGGACCTGCAAGGAGTTCTGTGCTGACATCTGCCAAAACTCGGACTTCACAGCTGCGTTGTGTGCATAACTTACCCTTTTACCAACAGCCTGTGACAGTGTGTCGTTGCACAGGAAGGCCGTCGCAATTCGCAATAGTCGTCCGCACCTACATCTGTCACAAGCCGTGGCAAGGCAGGCACACAACGGTGGCTGGGAAAAGCTGGGCCACTCTTGCAGAAGTAACTTGGGAATACTGTTCTGCAATTATGAGCAAACAGGCCAATGCTGTGCAACGCAGAGCTGAGCAATCCGGTGAGCAATTTTAGAGGCTGCGGGCAGATTGAGCTTGTCCCACGGCGCTGTCTCTATCACAATTCTGATTCCATGCTACACGGTTCAGCAATGATTTGCTGTCGCAAGTTGCGACATTCCCAGTGCTTAACCTGACGACGGGATTGTCGCATCCCTATTTAACCCGAGTTGTGCAGTTGCCAGGGCCCACTTCCAGTCTTTCGTACCTCTTTCGAGAGAGTATACTACAGTATGAGTATTGACACATCGCGTCTAGCAGACATGCCATCACTGCTGCATACATATGGCCTCCAATGTTCGACAGCCAAAGGCTCCTGCGGAAACTCAATGTCAGATCTGTCGCCAAGCTCGAAATAGAAATAGTAGTACCTGGGTGTACAACGGTGTACATCTGAGTATGTTGACACCATGACAGGACGACATGCCGACCTCGGGCTTATCTCTGAACTCCGTTGTCCATGTAGTGGCTGCTGATAGCGTGATCGCATGGGGGCCAAGCTACTCGGTTTTCAGCGACCTCCAAGTGGCAATAATGGGCAGCATCCCTTTCGGTGGTGCGGCAGTCCTCAACAGTCACTGCCTCAACAGTCTTCACTGCCATCAGAAGACATTCATTTATTTTTGCTGCGAACTTTGCATGCAAAGGCAACATCGAGCGCTCGTTGTGTTGGAGACCCTGATCGGATTATGCTGACGAGCGGCACCAGTCTCTCGCAGAGCCTCACTCTTCGTCATGGACACCTCGGACACATCATCAGCTGTTGCACATGGTAGGACACATAATTCATTCACACAAGGCCGCGCATTTCCTGCAGCAGCTGCCTAAAGCCAAGACGCTCGTCCCAACAGAGGGGATAGTTTGTCTTGCACTTCGGCATTCGCAAACCTGTTCCAATCTGATTTCCAGCCAAAGGCATGGGAAGCTTACACTGCTTTGCCTGGCTGCAAACGAATGTTAGTTGGAGGAAGTTGCGAGCAGTCCGAAGCATGCTCCCAAGAAGCGCCGCCTGGCCATGATCAGTGCCTCGCGGCAGCAGTCGCGTCGGCACATGTCATCTCGCGTTTGCACAGTGATTTGCCTGGACTCTCAAACGAAAGGTGTTGAGGCGCCGGCGAACATGTCTCGCTGATCTGGTGACCGAATGTGTCCTGGCGAATAGCATGCAGGTATCGCTGACATCAGGTTGAGTTGAAGTGACACCCATCGTGACAGATTCTGACTGTCTGACTGGTGTCATACACTCCTTTGAAGTTTTTGAGGTCGGTAACCACAATCCGCTGCACGTCTTCGTTCTGTAGGCGAGCTGATAAGGAGCCGAAGCTTTTCTCAGGAGGCTGCTGCGGCCAGTCGTCACCGACGACCTGTTTAGTCAGTGCATCAACATTGAGGAAGGCACACCAGGCACAGGATTTGAGCAGCAAGCGCTTGTTCTGGCAATACCAGAAACCCGGTTTCTCAAGCTGCTGCGCGACCTCGACAGGCACATCCTCCTCGTCCCCACTCGCTTGTTGGACGCGCGGGCGTCTGCACACCATTGGCCTTCCGAAAAGGGGTAAAAAATGGCGCTCCGGTTCCAGTCTTCGTCTTTTTCATATCACATAGCCTGCTCTGGAGCACCTCTTCGGCGCTTGGGTCCGCCAAAGTGACGTCTGCAGGTCTTGAAAACACTGTCGCGACTGGGACCAGCTTCTCTGCAGGTACTTCGTCCTTCGTGACCACCTGTAAATTACAGCTTGCAGCCGGCTAGAGAGGTATTGCACTCATCAGCATGTGGAGACCGAGTCGCCGAATCGGCGTTGCTGCAGCAGGCCAGACATTGAAATTCTGGCCATGCATCGAAGAACATGGGCAACCAGGAGATAAGCTACTTCTGTTGAGGTTCCTGATTCTTCCACTGCCCTTTGCATCCTTCACTCATCTTTCGGTTCCGCATCATTCCCACTTATGCGTGATTCGTTTTCCTCTTTGATGCACGGTTGAACTTTGTTACGCATGTAGCGATCTTTGTGGCTTTGCTGTCTGATGAAGTCTGATGCTACTCATGTCAGGGATGGTGAGGGATCTGGGCCGAGGATAGGGCCTTGAGATGGTGGTGGCGGCGATGCAGCCTTCCTCGCACAACCGAAATCCTGGACATCAGAAAGCGAGGCGCGAGGCGTGAGTTGAAACGAAGGATAAGCCAAGGTAGGTCCCCGTGAGGGTCCTAGCGGCCTAGCCTAGCAGTAACTGTAGCAACGATTCCTCAAGAAGCTACCCGTACTGCAACCATGATATGCATCATCAACATTAGCTCCAGTGGAAGACGCCGTCAAACAGCTTCTGCCAACCCGAGCCCCACTCGGGAGACCGACCTGTCGGCCCTGTGGCACGGCCGCCAGGCCTGATTGGAGAAGGATGGCCTGGCGTCTCATAGACGTCTGTGCGTCTCTGTGATAGCACGGACGCTCAGATGCCTAGCAGTGACATGAACAGCACGGAATCACCAGTCAGTTGCCGAGTGGCATGTGGCAAACCCCCACTAAGTGTCACAGGTCCTAGTTTGGTGTCTGTCGTATATTCCGACCGGAAAACATAAACATGGTGCAGCAAGACTCCGATGCATCTGAGGCTCGAACAACTTCCGTTGGGCCTAACAGCGATGTGCCTGCAGCAGGCTGCCCATGGCATCCAGCTCAAGCATTATTTTATGCAGCACAGGTAGAGTGCGAAGGCTGGTCTCACGCATATGCTTGAGCTGCAACTCAGGTGAAGAGAAACGACGAGAATGCAAGCGTCGGGCCAAGGTCGAAAATTGTCTGCGAGCCATCCCTCAGTCAACCGCACACTAAAGACTCAGTGTCTTGCAGCCGACAATTTCGCATGTTTGAAGGCATCCATGTCTAGCTTCTGCCGATGGACCAGCCTCATTGAATTCAGAAGCCTAGTGAATTGATCCACATTGCCGAACCCCGGACGTCCACTGACTTCACCAGATCATGTGCGATCACTGTGTCGCTGGCGAACTTCTGGAAAGCGACGGCAGGTTTGTTGGCCTCCGGATTCGCACAGCTGCAGCTGGTCGATGTACGACGATTGAGTACGGTACGAGACAGGGATACAGGGGCACGATGAGGCAACGTTAATCGAACCCACGGCTCCACAACGAGCAGTGCTAGGCTCCGCACGTAGATGAAGTCGCAGCGGCCTGTGATGGTCACCCATTTCAAGCATGACCGGGCAGTCTCGGAATGCACCCCCGAAAAACTGAAGCTGGACTTCAGAAAGCACACCGGGCCTGTGACTGAGCAAATCGGGCAGCATTGGCACCTTCACACGCATGCAAAGCACCAGAGTGCCCTGGCTCGTGAATGCTCTTGCTCTGTTTTGGCTTGTGCTTGCAGCTGTTGGAGTCACACATGTTTCACCAACTGTTAAGTAACGAAATGTAGAATACGCGATCTCCCGCGGGCCAAGCTCTCCAATGATGCAAGCCACATCTCTTTCGAATTGACAGCCCTGTCTTCTGCTTTTGCTGCCACTCAGCATCTGAATTCGTTTGTTGGCCTATTGCTGCAGAATGAGACGGTGGCAAGCCGTCCGCTGCCAGGCCTGTGTGCAAGCTGCAGGACTGTTGAGACCAGACATGACTAAACCCAAGCATGCGCAAAGTCCAGGGCACTGGCATGTCAGCATTGATGATGGCACCTGTGATGGGGACTTTCCTCGAGCTTCGAACCAAGATCCTTGTTTTTTTTCCCCCTCGCATGGCTGAGGAGGGGAGAGACCTTATTTACACGACGCCTATGCTGCGCCGTGATCCGGTGAATGCATGGATGTGGCAGGCATAGCATGACTTTGAGCCTGTACTATGGTAGCCATGGCCCCCTCCGCACTCCTCCCCACTACGTTGGAAGCCATGCCGTCGCACCTCGCCAGCATCGAACGGCCTCTCTTCCAGCCGGTTGGGCATGGACACGTTCCCTTGAAAGAATCTGGTCATATGTGAGCTTCACACTCGTGGTGGTGCTGTCTACAAAACTCGTGCAAGCCCACAGCAGCGATCAAGAGAGGCAGAAGGCGATGGAAAGGTAGCTGGCGTCAATGTCAATGGCTGACTTTATCTAGCTTCAGGAGATGGCTAGTTTGTCAATCTTAGCCATTTCGGCATCGTGCCTGTTGCGGCCTGGGCACCGGCGTTGGAGAGCCCCGCCTGTCAGGTCAAGGGCACCCTCACATCTCAAGCATCACATATGAGAACTTACGTATGTATGTGTAAAGAACTACACACAATAAATAAACAAATACACATATATATATATATACATACAAATATAAAAATAAATACACATATATATATATACATACATATAAACACATACACACCCATTTATTTATACGCGTACCTGCCCGCCCAGCCAGCCACCCACCCACCAACTCAGCTTCCCACTTAACTACCGACCTGCCTACCCACATGCATGTATGCAGGTATGCATACATGCTCACACACACATGCACGTGCACGTATACGTATGAAGTGATAGTATGTATGTGTATAAATAAGTAGATAAATATATACATACATATACATTATATATATATATATACGTATATGTAAAAACACACACACATGAAAAAATATATATATATAATAATAAAGTTCATAAATCCATACATGTGTGTATAGGAGGGCTCCTGATCCCGATTGAGGAGGGCGCAATCGGGATCAACAGCTCTAGTAAAAAAAATCAATCTTCGATGTCCGTCCCGGAACTTCTTGGAGGAGTGCTGCAATGGTGACACAGACGAATCCTCACGCATTCCGTCCGAGACGATTGTGCAACATGTTTTCGATCAACGTGCCGGCGAGTACACCCTCGGGGCTCGTTCTGAGTCTGAGTCTGGCTGAGCTGCTGACCAACTGCAGCGCCTGTTCCGCCAAGCTCTTCTGTCGCTCCTGGCTCTTTTTGCTTGTGCTTTGTGCTTCAAGCAGTGCACGGAGGGTGCTCGAACCTTTAGTTCATGATTACGGTGATTACAGCACGGCGCAGGGCAGTACCACCTGCAAGCGACAAAGCTCTGTCGCCACGGCTTTCTGCTCTTTCAAGACCTTACCCAAGTCTTCATGGTCCAGGATGTGAAGGCTAACGGCTGACAAGGTGTACTCGTACGGCAGAGGCACCACCCGTGTTTGCACGTGGGTTTGCATAGGGAATCGAAGTGCTCTCAAACTGTGGGGCACGGGACTGCGCCGTTTTGGCGCCAGGGAAATTCTTGATTCTACTTCGGCAACGGCTTGGCAGGGTGCTGTCTTCAGTTTTACTATTCAAATTGGGGTTGCATAACATACTTCCAAATCTTGCAACAAGCTTTCGTTCATCATCCCTGAGCTGTCGGCACTCGCCAGCCGACCCGACAAAGTCGTGGCCTTATGAGCTCCAAAAAGCTTCCGTTCCCCAGTTCCTTCGCACCGTTGTGATCTCTATTATTCCCTGCACAGCAAATCGTCTCGGGGTGTCTGGCCACGGCTTTGCCCTGCAGTATCCTGCTGCCACCCACCTGTGCGAGACTTCGATGCTTCGGCACAGGCACAAAGCATTGTTTTCATGCGGCCCTCGCTGCGATGTTTGACAGCTGGTCGCCTAATCAGAACCCAAGCCCACACGGCATTCGCTAAACCTGGCGCTTCACACCTTGTTTCTCTCGTCGGTACCGGCAAAGGAGGCCCGGATGGCGGTGGCCTGAGCCGTGTCAGTAGTGAGCATCACACTTTGACTGAATGTCGCTTCTATGAAGACTTGAATGCATTCGGGCCACTCCAAGTACACAAGGCCCGATTCGTCAAGAGTGTGCCATCACTGTCGGTTAGTATCACCAAAGAACAAGCGCACGGACAAACTGAGCCCGCACACAAGGAAGAAGCCCACGGCCATCCCTTGGGGCATGAACGCCTTGGCATCTGATTCCATGAAAACAACACATTCCCGGACAGTCTGTCAATGCACACCTCCTGATGATGGTCCCAGTGTATTCCGGTGCAGGCCAAGTGTCACAGCTGTCGCAGTCGAAATCAACTGTGCTGACAACTTTCCGCCTGAGCCGCACGCAGGGCCACCATAGCCTTCAGCAACCTTCTCCACCTGCACTCCACGACCATGTGACGAACACAAGGATTTCTTGGAGTGCTTCCACGATATCTCCACATCTCATTGTTGAAGCAAATGGAGGAATCAGAAGCATCGAGTGAGCGTTCTCCTGGGGATGCCACACGACGCTTCAGCCCCAGCAGGAATTTGAGCCGATGCCTCCGGCGTGGTGAATCGTAGCTTCTTGCGGTGCCTGTACTGAGGGCCTGGCCTGAGGGATGGCTCTAGCTGGGAGCTCCGCAGAACATGTTCAACCTGTGCGGCACTCCGGCACTGGCTGTTCGTTCGGGTGTTCCGTGTGGCATAGCACCCCGTGTGTAGCCGATGCCGGAAAATGCAAGGTTGGACCTGCAGAAGTGCACTTTACAAGGACGCCAAAGCCTGCTTGGCCGTGAGATATGGCGCAGCACGCCGCAGCTGGTCTTCCTGCCCAGCATTCTGCGATCCAGTTGTGGGTCCGGCGATTTCCCCTCAACAAAGGACCCGACCATAGTTTGGGAAAGCAGAGTGGGCCGCTCGACCTTTGCGGCGGTCTTGGTCTGTGCAAGTCTCACCAGCGATAGGCAGCGACGCCTCCCTTGCTCCAGCCACGTCTTGTCAACCGAGGCTTGAACGGCCTCGTACAAGCTGGAAGCGCAGGGGGCGACCTTCGTCCAGCAAATCAGCGGAAGCTCTCGATGCAATGCCAGTGCTCATCTTCACAGATGCGGTCGGGCTTGCATCTGTGTGGGGATGAGCATGGGCAAGACTGTCACACGTTCAAGACTGCTTTCAACCATTTTCAAGACTTCCGCATAGTTGCGCAGAGGTCACAGCCAGCCTGTTTACGTAAGCTTGTGCACAAACCAGTTCGGGCACAAGCAAATGCATGTGGATTCTTGATACTCGGCTAAACATGGCTGAACAATCAACTTCACCGCCTCTGTGCACAGCATGCCCACTCAATGTAAACCGCCCGGCTGGGAATATGGAACTCTGCCAAATTTTTGCGCAACAAACAGTAACACGCTCGCTGGCGCCTCCTCCAATTTCCGTCGATACTTCTGCGACGGTGGCTGCTCGTTGGATTTGGATGGGTCTGGCCTTGTGACTCCGAAACGCGTAGGCATTCTGGGGCTGCTCGGGCTAGGGCATTCATTCCGTACGACGCGGAAGAATCTTGCTTGGGTCAGAAAACTGAGCTCTTCGGTTTGTTTTCCGATTCTTGCGCGAGACACGCTTCGCATTGCTTCAAGCAATTCTCACGGCATGCTATGCGTCAAGCCCGTGGTCCAACCTGCTGGTCTTTTTCGTCGCTCTGGCAGCGGAAGCATGGCACTACTGCATCTCTGCAGTAAGATGGGTCTGTACAGAGCCACGAGAAACACTTCGGGACACGTCTCTGCCTGTGACCTGCCAGATCCGAGGCCTGCGACCCTACGACCCGCCTTAAATACTCAAGGCCTCCCAAGCACTCCACGGTTCCTCAGGACCTTCGACCTTCAGGCACACGTTGGTGGACCCAAGTCTAGCATGCGGCGTCCTGCTCGTGACTTGTAACTCTTCAATAGGAAGCTGCTAGCTGTCAGAGAGGATTCCCACATGCAGTCGGGCGAGGCCTTCCGGCCAAATGGTGTGCGTGCGTACACATACGTGGGGAGGTCCGGTATGTAGACGGACTGATGGGTAAATAGCAGGCAAGGCGATCGAAATGCAATGCACACCTCAGCCACTGTAGGCACTGCATGTGCACGCACGCATAACACCCAGCGCTCTATGCTATGTCAAATAAAGAATTGCCAGGAATGACTGCCACAAGCAAGGCATGCTGGGCACGCTTCGCCGCCATGGCCTTGCAGAGGTAGCTGAAGGATGTGGAGGCACACGTAGACAAATATGCAGTGTCTTCTCAAGAAGTTGAACCGCACAATGGTGCGCAAGGTGTCTGGTGAGAAAAGACTAGGTAAGCCACTGCGCTGATTGCAGTAGCCATCCTCCAACTACCTCTCTTGCACTGAAGTGGCATGCCTTGTGCATTGCCACACTGCATCTTTGCTTCGTTTTTACGAATAATTATCGGATCGGCTTGGGCTGGGATTCAGCTGTGCCAGGAATGGTGCGCTGGTGGTCTCATAGCCGACACACCACAGAATTCTACACTATCTGGTCTAGAACTTGCAGAAGAATGTCCCTGGAGGAGACTATGCCCACGATCCGAGCGATCTCGTCCTTGGCCATGTGCAGGAGAGTCACTGCCGGCTCTACCGGAAGGCAGTTCACGTGAAGAGCGGAAACAGCTCAAGGCCAAGCAGAAGCCCCAATTCCAATAGGCTTGCGCCGAGAATCCGAGGCCAGGAAGAGGCGCGAAAGCTTAGAGGCGAGTAGCCGCAAGGCGAGGGTGTGAAGCCTGGGCGAGATCTTGTGCTTCAGCGAAGCTTCTCAAGGCAAAGCTACAAGAGTGGCAACAGGCACACATAGGCACACCATGTCACACCCAGGAGCTGCACAGCCACTCTGCAACCGAATTCTTCCAAGATGCGACGCACCCTCATGAACTGAGACAACCTCAGTGGTTCAGTGGTGCTCTGTCGGTTGAAACCTCGCCTGAATTCCAGCTGTCATTCCAGTTATATGATCAACCATGATCAACCGCAGCCTCAGCGGTGTCTCCCCTCCGCTCAATGGGGCCGAGTGACATTAAAACGGTGCAGCCGCTGCAGCCGTAAAATCTGATCCAGGCTTTGGGCCTCGGCCTGAACGACCGCCATGGCCGCCCAACACCGAAGGGCCCCCGTGCTAGGTTTCAGCGTCAGCGTCAGCGGTGCCCAAGCAGATCCCGCCTCTGTGCGCCAGGAGAGGAAGTCACAAACGGACCTGGGCCGGCTTTTGTTTCTGCTGGCAGGCATTCCGTCAGACTGGCGGGGAACTGCGTTGCTCCGAAGATTTCCAGAGCATGCAGCCAGAGGGAGCACTGGAGTTCCAACTCTCGCCTTCAACAGCTGGCAGCGGAGGGCTGTCGACTTTCGACATATTGTACTTATGTGTCACGACATTCCTAATCATAACAGCTGGTGCCCCAAGATGCCTACGGTAAGCTTGGTAAGCTTCTGGCATGCCCAAAGCATCGAACCTGCCAGAGCCTCGGTCACATTGGAAGCTCATGTTCTCTGGTCGCGCAACAGTGGAACAGGGACGCCAGAGCCAGTGTGGGTTGCTCAGCATTCTACTTCAACAAAATCTCAGGTTCTGCCAAAATTTCCAGGATGTCTCAGGCTCAGGTGCAAACGAATGATCCACTTCCTCAGCTGCTCACACATGCAGAGGTTGCTAATTCAGGCTTGAGGTTGCAGGTGCAGCCTTGTGGGCTTGACCGAGGATGTTTCGATCCCTGTGTCGGCCAAAGCTTCTGGCGGTTGGGTCTGTGGCTCGGACCCTTGTTCTGTCTTAGTGCTTCGGGATCCCCAGAATCCAGGGATCGCATCAGCTACATTTTTCTGCCAAGGAGCAAGTCGGCAACGGAAACAACCTCCAGTAGTTAATGAAAAATGCATGCACGCAACTGCATTCATCCTGAAAAGCCACAAGTGACTAGCAGTGACTAGCAGCCAACTACTGCAGACACCGCAAAAGCTTGAAAAACACTAACCCCCCCTCCACACCTACAGTAGCAGACACAAACCTTACACGTAAGTGCACATAAGCTGCATTGCTGGCCACTACCCCGCCCAGATCACCAGACAGCTCTCGTGATGTCGTCGGGCAAATGGAGAGGCCTGGCAAAAATTGACACAACGCAACACTGGCAGTCAGCGGTATCAACCCACGAACGAAGCTGCAGCTGCATCTGAAGCTTTGAAACGTACACTTCTAGTCTAGCGTTCTGCTGCCGCTTCAAGAGGGGCTGGCACCAACCCGCGGCACAACTTCACAACCGTTACTCGACGCGGGTGCAACAGCCTCTTATGCTGTCAACGCAAGAATCCTTAAACAACAGCTCCGACAAGTAGAGGGATGTTTGACCATGTCTTGGTCTTGGTCTCAAAACCGGCCTTTAGGGGCAGGCTCGCATGGCTGCAAGCCTAACACTAAAATCCCAACGCCCCGTCTCCGCCGGATCTCGCCGCGGGGCCTGCCGCCTTCATGTTCTGCAAAGCATGGAGCAAGGGCTCGTCTTGTTGAACAGACACCTGCGCTTTAAAGATCTTTAAAGCTTCACATCGCTGACAGTTCCATGCCGTGCAAGGAGCCTGCAGGATGGTGCTTCGACGATCGAAGACCTTCCGGGATTCGGCAGACGCTTTGAAGTCTAGTGAGGCAGGAAACGAAGGCTGGTGTTGACATGCAGAGCAAGGGTCTCTTGCGCAAGTGCTGCAGGCCTTTGCGGATAAGGATTTCAGAACGGCCGAAGGCGCCGTGTATCGCAAAGCCAAGTGGAGAAAATCTGGGGCAGAGAAAACTCCAACCTTAGGATGCCGCAGCTGGTTCACGACATGAGGCTACACACTTCCATACACTTCCTGTCGCTCTTGGATCCTTCTCGGCAGGCTTCTTGGCAACTGAGGCATTGACAATGTTGCCTGTCGTGAAGCTGACCGCATCTCGCTGGAAACTCTGCACTTTGTGATGTCAGTACTCTGGTAACCCTGGTACAGCATGGGTACCAGCACGCACCCATGTCCACCACAGCGCATGTTGAGAAAACTTACTTACCGGAGCCTTCTGCATCCATCAGGGGTACTCGCCGTGCTTTGCCCTGTCTAGAGCTGTCGGCGCTACTTGGACTTGGAAGCTTCCGGCCTGACAGATTCAAGCACAACTACACTTGCAGGTCGACTTTTTCGGCCCAGGGATGCGCTGAAGTGGCCTGCCATTATCTTTAGCACCTCGCGCGCTGGTGTGTCAACCGAAGCTGGCACAAAGGCACCTTCGCAATCCAGGCTGTTGTGCGAGGCTTACACATATTCCAAGTGTGTGGCGCCAAAGCATTAACACCTCGGTCTCAGATCCCAGTGGCATATTCTGGAGCAGTTGGCCAAACTCCCGATGCTCGCCTGGCGGGCAAGAAGCTGCAGCTGTCCTGCGCCTTAAGCAACCTCTATACTAGTTTATAAGCCAGATTCTGCGAAAACTGCAACGTCGCTCTGCTCCATGCCACTGCATCATGACTTACCTCAAGTTCAATTCACCTGGACCTATTGCTGTGCATGGGTGGTAGGCTGATCGGCCAGGAGAGGCAGGGGTCTCCAGGAGCTGAAGGTCTTCAGAGCACAAGCCGTCAGTCGCCGCCACCAGATCACAACCACTAAGACCAGCAGCAACATCACCATCCGCGTCTCCACCAACGCTAGCAGGAGCACAATCGACAGTGCCCGTGCCAGCCCAAATACAGCTGATCGGCTACTAGTGACATACTGTTGAAGTCGCGATCCTGGTACGGATGCCTATCCTGGACCGCATACGCTTGGAGGATGTGTACGACTACGACAGCGATCCAGCTGTCTTGCTGATCCGACATTCTTCGACTAAAACAAGGACTCAAAGCGGTTCAAAGCAAAATTTTTCCGAGGCCTCGCAGAGGAGCTCCAAGGTCCTGGCAGCCTGGTCTGCCGTGTGCGCCGTCTGGCGGCAGGAGCGCCATCTCTAGCCCCCAACCCCCCCCCCGCCCCCCCCGCCCCTTGCAGGCTTTAGTGACAGCGCGAATCCTATTTTTCCTGATAACAGTCATGAACACTCTCTACGAAAACTTTGGTCGGAAATAGTTTGATTCATTTCTAGGGATTTCTTGCTGACCGATTCCGGGGAGTGCATTCCCAGAGCAGCATGAAACGGCAGCTTTCACTGTGTACGTGCCACCTCTAAACTTGGATTCGGAACTTTTAGGAAACACCCAGTCATGGAACGAAGCAACTCAACAAGCCTCAAACGAAACGATCCACAAGCCTTGACCCGGTTCAATGCAAGCCTCCAGCAACTTATGGTTGATGTCGAAGTAATCGAAGAACCTCAATTTCCCCAGCTGCACTACGTTTAGAACCTCCGAGAATCATTTTCAAGATTGCGTGAATCACTGAGTGTTTGGGCGAGCATGGACAGCATGCTTTCTAGAAATGCATGTGTTCAAGGCGCTTGTGTGAGCCATCCTCGTACTTCACCAGGCACCACCTCAAGCCAAGCTAGAATCGCGAACATCTGTCCGCTAGAATCTCTGCGTCGACAGACAGGCTGGAGTTAGGGTTTGTAGCGTGAAGGGCTAGAGTAACAGTCTTCGAGCGAACAAGCACAGGAGTGCAGCTTTTCTGTAAAACGCTCTCAACGAGGTCACCACAGTGATTGCGAATCTCCGACATCTCTGACACAGTGAACGATCATCGCCGTATTTGGTGCCATCGCCGTTGTCTTGTCTGTAAGACCAGTGAATGGAGCCCGCAACACATTTACCAAGCCTCATGTGATTGCGAGCCATTTCCAGCACAGCATCTCTGACCTGCAACAAATTGGATTCATTGTGCCGCTCCGCGGTTGTTCCCACCTTTGTGTGCTCGTTGAAGATCTGGGTTGCCCAGAACTTGGTGCTGGTTCTTTTCCTTGGGTCAAGCTGCAGCTGGATCTTACTCGGGCTTCTCTCCCCACCGAGCTGCAGCCGCACGATGTACTCCGAGATGGGCTTCGAGGGAATCCACTGTTGCTTCCTGGGTTCTCGCAGGACATCCGTCTTAGCAGCCGAAGCATGCTTTCAAACCAGAAGTTGGCACATTTCATCCTGCCAAGTGTTTCAGTGCTTGAGCATCTCTTTCTGAAGCCAGTACAGATGATGCCGTTGTCTGCATCACAGGTACAACGCTACGAACACCAAGCTAGCGAGCTACACTGCTTTCTTCGCAGCATATTCGTCAGGCAGGGGACGGGTTCAAGGGAGAAAGGTCTTCCGGCTGAGCTTTCTCCCCCGCATCTTCGAAGACATCCTTCCCAGAGAGCTGCATGAGTGCTCCCTTACAAGAACTCAAGAGGAGGTCGCCCTCTTCAGTCCTCGATCGGAGGGAGGAGCACGGCCAAAAACTCGCAGTAGCTCAGAGAATCCTGGCAGAGACGGCGCATGTCTTCTTAGCAAATCTCCTCGGCTCAGCTTGGGCGCGCCTGCTCTCCGCAAACCGCGCGCCAAACTCTCCGAATGGAGTCATGTTGGCAGGCAGCCGCTGATACCATGAACCGGTCATCTTCCCCACTCCTGGACAAAAACAACATGCTCAAGGCATGAACTTGCAGGAAGGAGCTCAAGACTTCCTCTAGGTGCCAACAGATTATGTACTGCAGTGCAAATGCCTTGGAGACTTCGCTAGCTGAGATCCGGACACCTGCTTTAACGAGCTGGCCCAGTAGGATCTCCTCAGCTGCGAACTTCTCAGAAGGGTTATGTTCACAGAGCCTACAGACCATTTGCTTTGATTTTTACCCTGATCCAGAGCAGGAGGTCGCTCTTTTCTCAACGTGAAATTGCTTTTGGCTGGTCTTGGTTTGGAAACACACTGTCGAGCGCCTAGTAAGGGACTGCGGGCACAAGTTTGTCAGAGCGACGTGAGTGCCGTCGACTGCAACAATCAAATGGCAGTGATTTGAAGAAAACAGGTTTCGACATGCTTTTGCCACTGTGGTGTGGTGTGGAAAATGACTTCTGCGCGCTTTTGCTTGGATAAATTCTGCCGATGTCTTCGAGACTCGAACTGGGGAAGAGAGTGGAAAGGCAAGCACCTCTGCGCATAGCAAGGGGCAGTGCGATCAGGCGCGAAACTGAACGTGATTCTGCTCCTGATGGTGTAAAAAAAGGACTAATGGACGAGACGAGACATGATAATCGCATGCTGCTCGGCCTTCACGGCACGGGGGATGAGGCCCTGGCGTGGGAGAGTCTCGTGACTTCTTCTCGATGACCTCCAGGAACTGGTCGAACTTTACTGTTCCGCTCAGGCCGTGGGCATCGAACATCTTGAACCTCGGCCAGCATGCAAGTACTCGGCACCAGAATCCCAGCGTCTGCAGCACAATCACCGGCAAAAGCATAAGAAGTGTTTGGCAGATGGTGCACTGTCGGACCATGCTGAGGTGATCACGTGTCCCTCATGGCCATGAAGTCCTGCCAGCATTTCAGGCCCGCCCCCATCAAGGCTCCTTGTGAACTGCCGAGTCAAAAAGCAGCAAAGCATCTTCCTGGCAAGTGTCGAAGCCGATTCTGCTAACAAGGAGTATTCTCTACGTTCAGCTGCAGCCCTTGTCTTTAGCGAGTTTACTGCACTTGTTCTTCTCTGGCCTCCCAAGGTAGATACGTCGGTGACCGGGCTACCGCCAGCAACCAGGCTCGGGCGGCGCGCGAGGCAACCGACTGCGCGTGAAACCTTGGGAACTCTCCCGGCATCTCAGTGTCACTACTACTACTGCTACGACGACGACGACAAGTAGTAGTAGTAGTAGTAGTA